CAGATAACTTAATTAACTTCCGATCACTACTTTTTTTAGTCAATTAACTTTAAGTTATTTTACATACGTATGTATTACAGTATACGTATACGTATTAGCTTTATCGTCACGACAAATTAAATTCAAAAACGAAGCACTTAATGATTTCAATTGAAACAATGCGATTTTATACAAAAAAAAATGTAAATATATTTTTATATATAAACATTTATTACATTCTAATAATCATTAGGTAAATAACGTGACATGTAAAAATTATTAGCGATGTAGATAAGAAAAAAACTCTTTGAATATAATGCAATACTGCAAACATGCTAAAATTCTACACAAGAAAAAACTTTTAATGTCCATCGTAAAATTAATATAATAAATTGAAAAAATTGATTACACAGAAATGAATACTATATTTAATCAACTTCTTCCATCTGAGAAGCTTCCGCAGTACTTGACTCAGCAGTATTAGCGATTACTTCTTCAGTTTCCATAATATCCTCCTCTTCCTCACCAATATCAAGACCTAATTTGATCATCTTGAAAATTCTACCGGCAAATGATGAAGGTTCTTCCAAGGTAAAACCAGATTGTAAAAGTGAAGTCTCGAAAAGAAGCCATGTAAGATCTTTAACAGTCTTATCATTCTTATCAGTCTCGACTTTAGATTTGAGTGATTTAATAATTGGATGAGCTGGATTAATTTCCATAATCTTTTTAGAAGCCATATACGAAGCCATACTAGAATCACGTAATGCCTGAGCTTTCATGATACGTTCAAAGTTGGCAGACCAACCATATTGGCCAGTAACAAGAACACACGGTGATTCTGAAATACGATTTGATACAACAACCTAAAATATTATTATAAAATAAAATTGTTAATATTGTTAATATTGTTAATATTGTTATAATATTGTTATAATATTGATAAATTTTTAAAATCTTATGAAATAGATATATTTTTACCTTTTCGACTTTATCACCAAGAATTTCTTTAACTTGTTTGCATAAATCATCAAATTTCTTATTTTCTTCTTCACGGCGTTTCTTTTCTTCTTCATCTTCATCAAGTTCAAGTCCTTCTTTTGTGATACATACAAGTTTCTTGCCATCATATTCTTTAAGCTGTGAAACTGAGTATTCATCAATGGGGTCAGTCATAAGCAAGACTTCATACCCTCGTTTTTTCAATACTTCAACAAATGGAGAGTTCTCGACAGCTTGACGATTTTCACCGGTAATGTAGTAAATATCTTTTTGTTTTTCAGGCATACGTGTTACGTAGTCTTTGAGAGAGGTAAGTTCATCGGTTGATCTTGTTGAATAATAACGAAGGAATTCGGCTAATTTGGCACGATTCTGAGAATCTTCGTGAATACCAAGTTTTATGTTTTTGGAAAAAGCTTCGTAGAATTTTGAGAAATTGTCTTTATCCTCAGCAATCTCTAAAAAGAGCTCCATACATTTCTTCACTATATTTTTACGGATGACTTTGAGAATCTTATTTTGTTGAAGCATTTCACGAGAAATGTTGAGTGGTAAATCTTCAGAATCAACTATTCCTTTAACAAAGTTGAGGTATTCAGGAATTAAATCTTCACAATCGTCCATAATGAAGACACGTCG